TATATGGCTAAAACAATAGCAATTCCAATTTCGTCTGACGAAACGCAGGACACTGGATTTGTATCGTTTCACAGCCAGTCACTTCATAACGATAGACACTATTTCACAGAATTAATTCACCGATAAGCTTATTTTGTAGACGATCAACTCACAGAAAAGTTCATTCAATAGACAATTACAGCTCATTTCAACCTATATAAGGTAATGCATGAAATAGTTTCTTAACTCAAAAGCGAAGAATCTAAGATTTCAATCACTTATAGAAATGATACGCCAAGAATAATATACTCAATGACTATTCGTGAAACTATAAAATTTGTGAAACTAAACTATTTAGTTTTACCGATAACTCTAATGAGTACACAGCATAATCATCCTTAGTGTATATAATATATATATACTTTAAGCATATAAACAGAGACAATTCCCAGTTTTTTCCTTTAAAAAAACAATTTTTTTTTAATGATGTCAAACGAGATTGTCGTAGAATCGCATCTCATCGAGGGAACAGCTTTTTTAAAAGTTTCATTAACAAAACAACAACAAAAAATCTTTAGGGTCGATGTTGATCAAGGTCAAATTCTATGGGATTCCAAAAAATCCGGAAAAGGCAAATATTATATCTTATTAATTTGACGAAAGTATTTTGGTCTTCATTTTAATTCTTGCGATTATCTGTCTTCATTAGTCAACATTGAAAGTATTAAGGAACTTCTAATTGGTAAAGATATAAGATGTTATAGGGAACATTTCAATCTTAGTGCGGATTTTGAGCCTCGATGGTTCACCATCACTTATGTTGATTCTGGAAGACATAAAATTCTTCACTTAATCGCACCGACTTTAGAATTATTTAATATATGGGTCAATAATTTGAAAAAACTATATTTGCATAGAATGGATGTGATCGGAGGGTTAGGTCATTTGAGAAAACGGGAATTTTTATTGCTGGAGCAACAGTGGAAGCAGGTTGACAAAGATGGCGATTCAAGATTAGGTTTCGATGATATTGCAAATTTATGTAATAATTTGAATATATACATGACAAAAGCGGTGCTTAAGACCGAATTTAATGTTTGTATAGTTTGCATGTATTATTAAGTTGAATGATTAACATTATTTTTTTATTTTATTGTAATTTCAATTTCTGATAATCTTAATTCTAGGAATCAGATGAAAATAAGAATGGTTCTCTTGATTTTACTGATTTTCAGCGATTTAATAAATTAATTAAAAAGAGGGCTGAACTGGATGAACTATTTAATTCTCTTGCGAAAGAGCGTAGGAATACTTTGACACTTCGTGAATTCAAAGATTTCCTCGTCAATGTTCAAAAGGTTATTATTATTATTTTTATTTTTACTACACGTTCTTAATGAGTTTATTTGATGAATATATTGACTAACGTCCTTGTTTTATAATGAGTCAGTATTCCTTGAAAGAAGATGAATATGATAAATTGTATTCTAAATTTTGCGATAAAAATCATAAGGAGATGAATTTAGAGGGTTTTAGTTATTTCCTCATGTCTAGCGACAATGCCGTTTTTGCTTCAGAACGCATCAAAGTTTATCAAGACATGAAACAACCATTAAGCCATTATTTCATTGATTCTTCGCACAATACGTACGTCAGAATATGTTTAAAAGTTCGATAATTAATTAATTGATCAATTAATTATTTTTATGGATTATTTTATAATTTAGATATCTTCTAGGACTTCAACTGACAGGTGTATCATCAGTAGAAGGATACGTACACGTGTTAAAAAGAGGATGCCGTTGTCTTGAAAGTATGAATATAAATTTATCTCATACGTAAATTAGACTTTTTATAATTGTAGAAATCTTATTATATTCATATAAATTACTCATAAGCTATATTTATTTTCTCATCTAGTTGATTGCTGGGACGGACCTGATGGTCCCATAGTTTATCATGGCCATACATTGTAATTAAATTTTAACTTGTATGTCGTTTCGTTATAATTATAGTGACGAGTTTTATCATAAATTAGGACATCTAAAATCAAGTTTCAAGACGTTATTTCAACGATCCGTACCTACGCATTCAAGGTCACTCCATATCCGTTAATAATATCACTTGAAAATCATTGTAGTATTGATCAACAAAATCAAATGGCATCTATTTTATGTGACACTCTGGGTGATTCTCTTGTCACTGGGGTCGCGTACGAAAACGCAAAAGAATTACAGAGCCCAACAAGTTTGTTATATAAAATACTATTAAAAGTAAGCATCTTATGATTAGTGATAGGTGTTTCTTATAAATTCTTTATCAAACATTATCTATATGAAATTTACACCTTTGTAATCAGGGAAACAAACTTCCTAGTAGTTCATCAGAAGGCTATGTCGAAGTGGCCGATCCAAATGCTGAATCATCTAAAGGTGCGTCTTTTAAGGATGTCTGTTAATGTAATCATATATTAATAATAATATTATTACGACTTTTATTCTTATATTTGGTAGAACAAAAGACTACTAAATTGAAAATGTCAAAAACCCTTTCAGACTTGATAGCCTACTCTATTGTTAAGTTTGATGGATTTGATTATGGTATGCTTATCAAATTAAAGATTTAAGAATTACATTTTCCTTAAAATTAATAACATCACATACTATAAATGTGTAGAGCATTCGAAGTACTACCACGTGTATAACTTTAGTAATCAAACTTCTTCAAAGTACATAAAATCTGACAAGGCAGCTTTTACTCGGCAAAATACACTCCAATTAACACGTATATATCCGTCGGGTCTTCGGATTGACTCGTCAAATTATCAACCACATCATCAATGGATTGTTGGAAATCAATTGGTTTCTCTAAATTGGCAGTCTTTTGGTTAGTTTTGACATTACTTTTTTTTTTTTTTTGTTTGACATTTTATATAAACTTTTTATTGAATTATATCAAGACCTAGGAATGCAAATCGATCATGCCATGTTTGCTGTTAATGGTAGTTGTGGTTATGTACTCAAGCCAGAGAGACTACGCAATCCCAAAATTATTTCTTCGGCTATGAATACACAGTCCACAACTCAAACTTTAACAATCGAAGTATGTAAATTTAAGTTTGATTTCGACTTTCACAAATTAATACACATTTCGCCTTTGATTAATACATCGCATCGATTAGATAATTTCAGGACAACAGCTCCCTAAACCAAAAGGTGACTTCATAAACGAAGTAATTGATCCATTTGTTGAAGTAGAATTGCACATCCCCGGTGCTGATGCTATAAAAAATAAGACCAAAACCATTTCTGATAACGGCTTTAACCCTACGTGGAAAGAAACTTTAAAATTTACATTTAATTGTGAAGAATTGAGTTTGGTATTTTTACGGTAAATAAATTTAATTCTATTGAAAATATTAATGTATAATTTCTTAAATGAATGTTAAAAATCATTAATAATCTGAATTTATAAAGATTCGTTGTTTGGGATCAAGATCTTAGTAGTAGTAGTTTCGTCGGATCTTATTGCATTCCCGTAACCAGTTTACAATTTGGTGAGGATTTTTTTTTAACCATTGTGTAGTCTTAAAAAGTATATCAGCTATTTGTGTAATGAAAGTAAAAGACAGGCTATATTAGAAGAATTTATTAA